ACAGTTATGTTTTATTCAGACTATTATCTGATGTACTTTAGTCGCTCGTGTATTCGTGACACCAGAGGCGATTTTCCAAGAGACCTTTCTTCCCAAATTTATTGGTAAGTGACTCTAATCCATTTCCTTTCAATTACACATTACTTTTCATGAGATTTCAACATCAAATTTAGGATTTCCGTGGTAGAAATTAGGGATTTGGGTAGAATTTGGAATTTTTGTAAAATTGAGATCGAATTTCAAAACAAATCACATAACCGGGCTCGGGGTGAATGGGTAATCGAGTTTCGGTCCGAATCTCGGGTTTAGACCAAGCGGTCCCGGGGTTGACTTTTGTTGACGTTTTCAAAAATGATCAAAATTAAACTTCTTTCATTAATAGGTAGTTTCTAAAACTTATTTTGAATCATTTGATCGCTAATTTGCTAGATTTGGTCGGTTTGGAGGATTGTTCAAAAGGCAAGGTCGTAGTTGACTGATTGATTGAATTACAGAGTGAGGTAAGTATTGGGTCTAAACTTCACTTGAGGGAATTAGGGAACCATGAACTATGTGTTATGTAAATTATGTGGGAAAACGATGTATATGCGAGGCAGCGAGCCATCATGATACTTGTTTCCATGTTTCCGTTTAATCCATGATATGTCTTGCTTCATGCCTTAATTGTTACATACTTTATTTGACTTCTATGCCATCATTGTCACTTGTCATTTAATTATTCTTGTATTAAATTGTCAGTGCCTTCCATGGCTCCATGCTTATCTACTTGACTCTACTTGCTTTCCTTGCATATCTAAATTGTCGTATAATTTACTTGTCTTATAGTTTTGTTATATTTGTTGCCTTGTACTATGTGGTTTCCCTTGCATTAGTTGTTTAACTAATAGATACCGATGAATTGGTAAAGTTGAGGCTTCGAGTTGTTAGAAATTCTTTAATTGTTATGTGGTTCTTTATTGCCTCGTACATTTACCCTCTTGATATAGAAATTCTGATAAATGTGGTTGTTGAATTGTTGTTATTGATTGAAATTATTTGGGGAACGGTTACATGCCGCAACAAAAACTGAAAGCTAACGAATTGAAATGGTAGAATAAGGATGGATTATGATATTGACATATGATGATATGATGGGATCGAATTGAGTGCCGCTACGGATTGTATATGTGGTATTTGTTTGTGATTATTGGAGTTACCTCGGTATTTTGATATGAGATTATGAGACTTGTTATTCTGGGCTCTCTGGAATTTGGATTTTGAGTTCGTCTACATGAGGTAACTGCTTTATTTCCATTTCCTATTTTCTTGTTATTATTATTATTGAGTACAGGTTATTGTAAGTGACTCACCTTTGTCTCATCACTACTTCGTCGGGGTTGGGCTCGGCACTTACAGAGTACATGGGGTCGGTTGTTATAATATTATACTCTGCACTTCTTGTACAGATACCGAAGTGGGTCCCAGTAGCGTTGAGTGAGATTGCTCGGATCCAACTATCTGTGGAGACTTGAGGTATAGTTGCACGACATCCGCAGCCCTGAAGTCCCCTTCTATGTCATCTTAGCTATTTATGTTGATTCAAACAGTTATGTTTTATTTAGGCTATTATTTGTAGTACTCTAGACGCTCATGCATTCGTGACACCAGTTTCTAGTATTTGTTTTGATCAATCCACTAGGCTAGGTGCCTAGGGATAGTTTTTATATATATAATAACACAAAAAGACAAAGTAGCATGTTGACTTACAAGGAGTAAGACCATTAGAAATGACTAATACATAGATCCTACTACCAATCTTGGGCTTCTGAGGCCCAAAATTGGTATTACAATTTGATCTAGAAAATATATAAACACGCTCAAAGCATATTAAAACTAGCCTATTACAATAGTAGCCAAATTCTGCAAGTTTGCCATTATAGCCCATCTTCAAGTTGCTAAAATCAGTTACCATATCAAACCATTGTATCCTGTATCCAAACGTAACTAGCCAAATTAAGCTTGCCATGCCATGGGAGTCTTTTTGGAAGCTTCCAATGCTGCCTATGTATCTTCCAGCTCCATCAACGTTGCTCCAGTGAATTGCTCCACCAAAGACCAGCTGTATTGTCTTTAAACTTTCTTGGGTTTTTGTTGTTTGATTCCATATATTCCAGCCACAGATTTCATCCTCAATTATCTTAGCTTCCAGACGTACTTGATATTTGTTCCATCTTTGCTCCATTCTTCCCGCAAAATTGTCCAAAGTTCATTGTCTTGAGCCCTTGCACCTGGGTGACTTTTGCCTCATACGGATAAAGAAGTGCCATATGAGTCAAATCCTGTTAATGCACCAATCCTTTAGCTCCCATAATAGGTTAGAATTACTTGGGCAGCTTATAAGTACCCAGCCATTAGTATTGCCAAACTCATTAGGCAGAATAGGATGACTGGGCTTCTCTTTTCTCCTTGATCTCATGCTTATTCTTACCCATAACTCCCCTCCAATGGAATGAGTACATAGTACTAATACCACCAACTGAAGATTTGTTAGTAGATAAGGCATGAGTACAGTAATATGTCCTGCAAAAAAACAAACACTGTTAGTAGAAAATAGAATCACCATGCACTCCTCCATAAGGATTTTAGCATGGCAATTGCTTATGTGATCTCCAGCAGAACCAATATCCCCCTCTGAAGTTTTGAGGGCAGCATGAAATTTCCATTGTTGTTCTACAAGAATTTATGCCTGGCTCCCTGTCTGCAAAGTTGAAGTAGTGATTTGCATTGGATTTTTGATCCACAATGCACCCCACAATCCTGTTATGTACAAATTGTCCACAGTTCTACAATTGTGCATATACTTGTAATATTTGATGTGAAATTCGTGTGCTCTCAGGCATCCATTTAATGTATTCTTGGTGTAGCACCATTGTTGGGATATAGTGAAGTACACTGGGCAATGACTTCCCAGTATCTTCATGCTTCTCATTTTTAGGTGCCAAAACAGTGAATCCTTCATGAATGCCAAGCTCACAAAACTGTGCAGACTCATCTTGTATCTCCAGTATTGACTATTCCTAATGTGTACCTTCATTAAATTAGGGACTGGAACTCTAGTGTAGTACTTATGGATATCAAACCATCGATGACGGCAGAAATGTGCATGCCCTAGAATACTTAAGACTCTCCTTGCTTCCATGCTTGTGCTCACCAGTGGTATTCCTTCCTAGGAATGAGCACATAGTGCTAATACCACCCATGTAAGTTCAACCATATGGTGAGGCATGAAGACAGTATCATTCCTTGCAAAAAAGAACCCACCGTTAGTAAAAACTCTAACCACCAACCTCTCCTCCATAAGGATTTGAGGTTGATGATCCATGTTGTTGCCCTGCTTCTTCTCCATCTCCCTTATGCTTCTTTCCTCCTCCCTTTCTAATTCTTTGCTACCTTGATTCCCAAGTTTGGACATTGAAGTTTATCAACATTGACCAGCCTTCTCCCTTGTGTATCCAAATGATGAAAGTCATGGCATTCAATATTACCAGTATCAAGTGCATAATTGGCCAAATGATCAGCAAGCTTGTTTCCTTCCCTATAAATATGTGTGACCCTTACATTACACAGCCCTATCATCTTCTAGATTTCCTCAACCTCATTCTCAATGATCCAGGGAGGTTTCCAAATTCCTTGGATAACATTTTTCAGCAACATTGAATATGTTTCTAACCATATTTGAACCATACCTTGGTGCAGGCAGTATTTCAAAGTCTCCAGAATCGCAATTGTCTCTACCTGTGTACTTGTAGTCTTATCTATATCCTTCCCTACTGCATATACAATATCTCTAAGCTCATTCCTCACACAAAAACCTATTGAACTCCTGCCAGGGTTACCCCTTGATGCCCCATCCGTGTTTATTTTAATCCATCCATCCATAGGGAGCTCCCAGATCACCTTATTAAACTTCAACTTAGGCACATACCTTTCCATCATGTGTAGTATATCTGGCCACCTGTGTGGAACATTAATCAAGCCTGGTTACCTCACTTTGATTAGGGACTGAATTGTAGTGTTAATTTGATACACTACCTTGTTGATCGACACAGCATCACCATGCTTATTGCTATTTCTCCTTTTCCACAGCTCCCAAACAATAATACAAGGCAGTGCTTGAAAGATAGGTTTTAATCTTGAAATGACCTCTACTGTCTAGCATTTAACGATCACCTGGTGCAAGCTTAAACCCTCTACTGATAATCCTGCATGAGAAAAGAAATACCCCCACACTTTTTTGGTTGCATATGAACTGAAAAAGGCATGAGCCACAAATTCTTCCTCCGGATTCACACAACACCAACACCTTGAGGGCATAAAATACCCTATCCTCCGTATTGCATCATCTAAAGGTATCCTACCTTTCCACAGCTTCCACATAAAGAATGAAATTTTGAATGAAAATCCCTTCACCCACATATTCTTGTATGTTATAGCAGCATCTTTCCTTCTTCTAAGGTAATCCCAAGATGTTTTGACAGAGAAGTTCCCTTTTGTTTCTAGGTTCCAAATAGGCTTATCCAACACATGATGTTCAATCGGAGGAGCAACATTTTCCAGAATGTGTATGGCTAAATCTTCAGGCAATATGTCATATAGTTTCTCCACATCCCAAGCTCCTTCATTCATAACATCATAGACATTGTGAATTGTTTCATCACAAAAGAAGTCAGGTGGTGTAACAAAGTATAGTGATCCCAAACCAGTCCAGTTATCAGACCAAAAGAGAGATAATCCCATTTTAGGCTTCGATACAATCTGATGCTCCACAAGATCCCTACACTCTAGCATTTTTCTCCAAACATGTGATCCCCTCTTCCAAGGAACCACCAATGCATTTAATTTCTTGCAGTATTTTTGGCTCATAAAAGAACTCCAAAGTGATGGTTTAGTTCTAAATTCCACCATAACTTACAAAATAATGCCTTAGACATATCATGTAATGATCTAAACCCTACACCACCTTAATCACAAGGCAAGCATAAAGTATCCCAAGAAGCCCAATGTCTAGCTCTCCCATCTACTGAATTGCTCCAGAAAAATCTTGCAAAAAGCTTTTGAAGTTTGTTAATCACAAATACAGGTGGATTCACTGTTGGCAACAAGTGAATGAGCATGCTTTGCAATACATAAGTGATCAAAACTGCTCTTCCTCCGATAGACAGTAATTTCCCTTTCCGCGACTGTAATTTGTCTAGGACTTTGTTGATAAGTCCTTCATAATACTCCATCTTCTTTCTAGTATAAAAGATTGGGCATCCTAGATATATGAAAGGAAAATCTTGCCTTCCAATCCCTGTAATTCTTTCCACTTTCCTAACCACACCATCATTGGTAGAGTGATGCATATTAGACTGCAGATTTGGACTTGTTTATCTTCTGTCCAGAGGCTACTTCATATGCATATAATACTTCCATGATCAATTGAAGTGAAGTAGCATCTGAGGAGGAAAATATGATCGTATCATCTGCATATGCTAAGTGGTTTATCTTGGGACTCTATTTAGGAAGTCCAAAGCCACATAAGTATAGGTTCCAGTGAAGTAAATTCAAGCCTCTTGAAAGTGCCTCAGCTGCCAATATGAATAGAGTAGATGATAATGGATCACCTTGCTTTACCCCCCTCGTGGATTTGAAGAAGCCATGAGGCTGGCCATTTATAAGAACCGAATACCAATTGTTGGAGATGATTCCAAATACCAAACCAATAAATCTCTCATCAAATCCCATCTTTCTTAATACCTTGGTTAAAAACAACCAAGATAGTCTATCATATGCCTTCATCATGTCTAGCTTGATCATAACATTAGGGCCTGCCTTAGTTCTCAATCTCAAGTCAGTGATTATTTCCTGAGTTAGCAACACATTTTTCACAATACTCCTTCCTTTTACAAAACTTGTTTGTTCATCAGAGATGAGGTTAGGAAGAAAGCCAACTAACCTCTCATGGATGACCCTAGAAAATACTTTGTTGATGAAATTACTAAGGCTAATTGGTCTCATATCCGAAAAGGTAGCTACTTCCTTTTTTTTTTGTAATAAGACTAAGTTTGTATGAGTTACAAACTTAGGGAGTTCCTGCCCATTGAAGAATGCCTTGACCATTTCCACCACGTTTTTACCTATAATATCCGAACAAGCATGAAAGAAACCTCCATTAAATCCATCTGGACCCCCAGCACTTTCACTATTCAACCCATACACTGCTTGCTTAACTTCTTCACTAGTTGGCTGCTTTAAAAGTTCTTGATTCTGCTCCCTATTTAGCATGTGAGGAATAATATCTAAAATGCCAAAAGCAGTAGGGATAGTATCCTCATGAAATTGAGCTGAGAAAAACCGCACTTCCTCACCTGCTATCTCCACATTCTCCTCTAGCCAATTACCATCACTGGATTGGATTCTCTTTAATTATAAATGCTTTCTTCTTCCTCTAACTTGTGCGTGAAAAATCTTCGTGTTTCTATCTCCTTCTTGAAACCATGTCATACTTGACTTTTTCTTCCAAAATTCCTCCTCCAATGCCATATATTTATACAAATCTGCTTGCACTCGATGTAGCCTTTCTCTATTCTCTAGAGTAGGTCTCAATATAAACTAAGCCTCGTGAACTTTCACCACCTCCTCTAGACTGATATCTTTTGAAATATATCCCCATAAGTAGCCTTACTCCATGTAGATAAAGCCTTCTTAAATTTTCTCAACTTATACTTAAATAAGATGAAGGGATTAGCATGAAAATCAGCTTGCCAGTTTTCTCGAACTACATCCTTAAATGAATCATGTTTGATCAAAAATTTTAAAAATCTAAATGACTTCCTAATTGGAGCAACTTCTGGATTCAGAGTGATCAACAATGGGCAATGATCAGACCCAATTTTTGATAAATGTTCAATCTCTAGTCCAGGCCATAAGTTCTGAAATTCTATATTTGCCAATCATCTATCCAACCTCTTAAAAATACAATCTTTGCCCTTCCATTCCACCATGTATATTTACTCCCCTTGAAGCCAAGATCAAACAAATTGCAAGTGTTGACACAATGTCTAAAATCATCAACTTCATTAATATGAACTAGTAACCCTACAAATCTTTCTTCCTCATCCCAAATGACATTAAAGTCACCACCAACTAGCCATGGAAGAGTCATATCACTGGCCAATACATATAATGAATCCCACAACTCTATTCTTTCAATCGCATTACATTTTGCATATACTAGAGTTAGGATGAATTCCTGCTGATCTTCAGTATTATAAATCTTTAAAGTTAGCTGCTGCACCATGTCCATCATTACTGTAACCTCAAATCTCTCATCAAAAAATGCCCAGATTTTATTAGAAACATTTCTGATGGCATGAGAAAAATCAATTTTCCTACTATATTTATCCAGCTTTCTCCCTTGTTGCATTGGTTCCATTAAGCCTATGAACTGGAACTTATGTATTTTATGCATTGAAATGAGCCTCTCAAAAGCTCTTTTAGTTTTGACTGAACGAATATTCCAAATCAAAGCATTCATATCTAATTGATTGATTTGGAAATTGTCCTCCTTGTTTGAACCCCAGGTGCTTGCACACTAGGCAACTCCTTTGATTGCTTTCTTCTAACTCTACCTACTGATCTTCCCTTCTCCATTTGTGTAGGAGATATATCGCCTTGCCTAGTAATATGCATGAAATTCTGGGTCGTTGATTCAGCATCTAAATCCTTTTCTTTGCCCTGCTGGTTATCTTCATCTTCTATGTGCATCTCTTTGGTTGCCAACTGATTCTTGGAATCCTTTAGAATTAAATTCTTGCTCACATTTCCTTTCCCAATATGTCCATCTAGGTCAACTGGTTTGATTTCACAAACTGTGATTGATTGTCCTTTATTTTGATTAGGATCCCCTCCCTTATCAAATGTTGTCTGCATGACATTCTGAATATCCACATGAGATTGCATATCTTTAACTTTATCACCTGGATCAATAAGATCACCACTGATAGTTTTAGTCACAGAAACAGGAAGGTTAGTGTTAGGGATAGAGTTAGGTTTTGATTTGGAGCTAAAAACTTTGGTTCCTTTTACATTGGCTTCATTCCTGGACATCTCCTCCATCAATTTTGAATTACAATCTCCTTGTTGTATCATCAACTGTCCATTGTTTCCATTTACACTTTGTTCTTTTTCTTCATGATCATCTTACTCAATTTGATCATTCTCTTCATTATCATCCAATTTATCCTCATCATCCTCATCAGAATGCTCCTCCGTTTGATCACTCCATAATCTCCCTTGAGTAAATTTAACACGATCTTGGAAATTCTCCTGCTCTTCAATAACTATTGTATCCAGTGATTGTGATGGCACTTCCTGACACGACTGATTATTAGTGACATTATTTACTCCAAAAGCTCGACTAACCCATTGTGCAGTGGATTCTGTCCCTCCTTCTGAAAATTGGTTTCTTTCTTAATTGCCTTAGTAGTTCCAACCCCAGGAGACGTAGGATTAAATACTGGTGCAGCTGGATTCAATGCCTTCCCAGGTGAAGTATGCTTATTAGCTGACCTTGCCATCCCTCTCTCATTAGCATTAGGATTAGGACTTTGAGGAGCATTATTCTGGGACACCAACGCTAATTCATTGTTATCCTCTTTCTCTCCATCATCAACTTCTAAAATTGAAAACTTGTTGGTTGTTTGAACCTGCTGAGACACTACATTATCCCTTGGAAGTAGTTGTACTACACCTTAATTAATAGGGACAATCTCTTTTCCAGTAGCTTCTTGGTTTTCACCTTGTCTTGCAACCTTTTTCACCCTATTATATCTTACTTCCTTCCATTGTTCCATAACATTACCAACTACTTTACCACTTGATAAAATCATAATTGGCTAATTAATCGTGTTGTTCCTCTGTCCATTCTGATCAGCAACTTCCCCATCTTGAACCTCTTATAAAACTTGCTTACCACTTTCTTTGTTTCCCATTAATTCTGGATGAATATGCCAACACTCAAACTCATCATTTCCTTGTAGTTTGCAAGTCTTGCAATATTTAAGAAGGTAATCATACTTAATATTCACCCATTTAGTACGAATTTTACCAGTGGCTTCATTCTCGATGTCCATGCGTACTTTCTTTGGTAAATCAGCTAGAAGATCAACAAGAATTTTAACCCTCGCACAGTTTGGTCGAGTCTTATTTATAGTAGCCATATCCAAGTGTAAAGGCTTTCCCACAGCTGACGCTAAAGAAAATAGACATTCTTTAACAAAGAACGTGGGAAGCAGGTTCGGAAACGAGATCCATTCCATAACCTTAGGTGTTTCTTCCCCAGCTTTAAATTTAGCATCATAAATCAGTGTTCTAAGTTGGTATTCATTTTCATCTTTGCCCTTCACATAATACACATTTTTTGACGTAAAATTTATGAAATCTTCCCATAACGCCAACCTAATCAAAATATGCCTATCTCTCAAATAACCAATGTTACACTCACCCTTAATTCCACATTGTGCAGGCACAATCCTACGTAATTCTGGGAGTTCAGGCCAGCCATAGGAGAACTTACAAATAACAACATACTGAAGTCCTTCAATGACATTCATAAGATCAACTTCTGCTTCAGTAAACTTCACCATTGGTTGTCCATTGACAAAAGTAGCGCGTCGAAGACGTACTGGATCAACAGTCACGCTAGAACTAGGACTCGCAGCATTCATCATGACTGATTTTAGAATCTGGGAGTAATCTAGGTATTTCTGATTGTGTAGTAGGGTTAGAAATGATGGGAGGAGGTTGGGGAGGCAGACCAGCCATTGGAGGAGGCTGGCTACCGGCCAGAGTGGCCATGGAAATGCTCGCGAGAGAGTCACAGTACAGTCGTCTCCTTTTCGCCTGTCGCGAGAGAGTCGCGCTAGAAAACTTCTTGGTTTTGTCGTGGCCCTCTGATTTGGGTCCAGTTTCTGGTATTGAATTTGGATTACTTCATTTTATTAGTTTATCACTTTATTTCAGACTATTCTTTTTTATTGTTATCATTTTATTTGAATTGTTAAAATGGTTGATAAGTATAGCTAACGTTGGCTTGCCTAGCAAGTGAAATGTTATGCGCCATCACGATCCAGAGGGTGAGAATTCTAGGTCGTGACAGTCAATGATTACTGACCTTTTACAAAGCAGCAAACCAAGCAAGAGTCCTTTGTTTAGCCGTTTAGAAGTCCAAACCCAAAATAAATCACTTACAGGGATCAAAATTGAGCAGGAATGAAAAGAGAGAAAGAAGAAGTTAGGAGAGACTACTGGAACTTGAAACTTAGCTGAAAAGACTTAATCGTTTTTCTTTCAATATTTTTGT